TGTCTGGGTCTCGGGCTCTGCCGCTGCCGCTGTCGCTGTCGCTGTCGCTGTCGCGCCGCTGTCGCGCCGCTGCCGCTGCCGCGCCGCTGCCGCTGTCGCTGCCGCTGTCGCTGCCGCGCGGCGCCGACGGCGACGCCAACGGGGGGCGGCAGACGGGGGCGGCCGACGGGGGCGTCCGGCGGCGGCAGCGACGGCGATGCCAACGGCTCGTCGCCGGACTTGGACGAGGCGGCTGGCTTTTCCCTGCCCCGGGGTTGAGGGGGTTGGAAGGTGAGCGCTTTTTTTTCTTTCCCCCAGCCTAGCGCTCATTACCCGGCCCCCCCCGCGCTGACAGTCCTGATTCTTGGGGCTCGGCCCCCCCTACATGCTGTGGTGTGCACAGGCGATTGATACGCCGGTGGCTCGGACGCACCCTGGCAGGTGAATGCCGCGGCCGCCGTTACTGGTACCCTCCCGCCCGACTCCCCTGGTAACGACCGTTACCTTGGGGAAATCCTGGGGGAAACAAGAACGGGACACACAGGGGAGGGGGACGAGGAGGAGGACCAGTGTAAACCCGAGAGTCATCAATGATGTTGCAATAAGTCCTCCCTCTAAATTCTTTCTCTTCGTATGCCCCTACAAGTATTCTTTTTCACTGAGTGGAGTGCCCCAGCAGACAGCCGTTTTAAATCCGGAACTGTGCAAGAACACCATTCCTGGGACGTCAACGCCGCAAATCACTGTTACTGTTGCGTCTTGACGGTCCTAAATCGCGCTAGAACGCCATTCCTGGGATATAACCACCACGAGTCAACGCAACTGTTGCGCCCTGGTATTTCGCCCCCGTGCCAAAACAACATCTCCAAACCTATAGCCACGAGAGCTCTTGAAACTGCTATAAGCTCTTACAACGAAAGTGCGCGGCGCTAAGGCGAGGCTACAGTTTGAAAAGGAACCGTCCTCCGTTCGTGAAGCCCTTGCAATCTTCTAAGACGAATGTTCGCGGGGCCGAGGCGAGAACAGTATTTTGAAAGGATTTGCCCTCCATCAATAACACCGCTGCGAAGGATGAGGGGCAGCAGCAGGAGGAGGAGGAGGAGGACCAGTTCAAGCCCAAGGCGCATCAACGATGTTACACTAATCCGCCCCTCAACGTTCCTCATAGTTGCAACAATGTATATTCATTGCGGGGATTCCCCCCCGTTAGAAGAGAACCATCTGAGATTCCCCAATCGTGCCAAAACGCAATTTCTGGGGCTTCAACGTCGCGAATCAACGTGACCGTTGCTCCCCCACAGTCTGAATCCTTCCAGAATACCGTTCCAGGGACTCCGACACCGCGAATCAACCTGCCAGTTGCGTCCTGACAATCTTAAAGAGTGCGGGAAAACCACTTCTGGGATTTCAGCCCTACGATTCAGTGACACTGCTGCAAGCTTTTGGGGCGAATGCGCGTGGTGCTAGGGCCTGGGCCACATTTTGAAAAGGACCCGCACTCCAACGAATGTGCGCAGCGCGAATGCAAGAGTCACATTTTGAAAAAGGCCCGCCCTTCATCATTGAAGATCTTTGAGTTTTTAAGACGAGTGTGCGCGGCGTTAAGGCCAGTGCCACATTTTGAAAACTACCCGCCATCCATCCTTGAAGCTGTTGCACTTTTCAAGCATCGGGGTCGTATATGGTGAGGAGGTCTCAGGCAAAACGCCCGGCCCGCCCAACCGCGGTGTTTAGGGGTGCGACAGGGAGGAGGATGAGGAGGAGTAGGAGGAGTAGGAGGAGGAGTAGGCAGAGGAGGAGGAGGAGGAGGATGAGGAGGAGGAGGAGGAGGAGGAGGAGGAAGATGAGTGGGAGGAGGAGTGGGGAGGAGGAGGGGAAGGAGGAACGAGGAGAGAGGAGGAGGGGGAGGAGGAGGAGGAACGATCAGGAACAATGATGATGATGACGATGAAGATGATGATGATGATGATGATGATGATGCTGATGATGATGATGCTGATGATGATGATGCTGATGATGATTGATGATGATGATGATGATGATGATGATGATGATGATGATGCTGATGCTGATGCTGATGCTGATGATGATGATGATGATGATGATGATGATGATGATGATGATTATGATGATTATGATTATGATGATGATGATGATGATGATGATGCATGATGATGATGCTGATGATGATGATGATGATGATGATGATGATGATGATGATGATGATGAGGATGATGATGATGATGATGATGATGATGATGAGGAGGAGGAGGAGGAGGAGGAGGAGGAGGAGGACCAGTGTAAACCCAAGAGTCACCAACGATGTTGGAATACACCCTGCCTCCAAGCTTCCTCTTCGTAGGCCCCTAGAATGGTTCATTTCCACTGAAGGAACTGCCTTGTTGGAAGACAACCGTTTGAAGAGCCTGAAGCGTGCCAACACATTATTCTCGGTACTCCAGCGCCAGGGATCAACTTGACAGTTGCGTCTTGACGATCCTGAATCGTGCCAGAACAACACCTCGAATCAAGATAACTGTTGCACCCTCATAGTCTTGAATATTTCCGCAACGCCATGTCTGGTACGTTGACCAAGAATGTTCGCGGCGCTAAGGCTAGACCCACATGTTGAAAAGGAACCGCCCCCAATCCGTGAAGCTCTTACGAATGTTTGAAGCGAATGCGCGCGGCGCCAAGGTGAGAGCCACATGTTGAAAACCACCCGCCCTCGATCCGTGAAGCTCTTTGACATTGTTATAACGAATGTGCGCGATGCTCAGGCGAGAGCTGCATTTTGAAAACGGCCCGCCCTCAATCCGTGAACCTCTTTTAAGTTTCAACGATTGTGCGCGGCGCGTAGGCGAGAATCACAGTTTGAAAACGACCCGCCCTCCATCTGAAAAGCTGTTTCAACGTTCAAGCGTCAGGGTTATAAATGGTGAGGAAGTCTCAGACGAACCCCCCGGCCCGCCCTTTCGACCGGTGTCTAGGGGTGCGACACGGAGAATTTATAAAGAAGCAACGGAATGGAGGAGCATGAGGATCACGAGGATGAGGAGCAGGAGGAGGAGGAGAAGGAGGAGGAGGAGGATGATGATGATGAGGAGGAGGAGGAGGAGGAGGAGGGGATGGAGGAGGAGGGGAGGGATGGAGGAGGAGGAGGAGAGGAGGAGGAGGATGGAGGAGGGAGAAAGGAGGAGGGAGGAGGGAGAGAGGAGGAGAGAGAGGGAGGATGGGGGAGGAGGAGGAGGAGGGAGGAGGGGAGGAGAGAGGGAGGAGGGAGGGAGGGATAGGGAGGGAGGGAGAGAGGGAGTAGGGAGGAGGGAGGAGGAGAGGGAGGAAGGAGAAGAGCAGGGAGGAGGGAGGAAGGAGGAGAGGAGGAGGAGGAGAAGAGAAGAGGAGAGAGGAGAAGAGGAGAAGAGGAGAAGAGGAGGAGGGAGAGGAGAGGAGGAGGGAGGAGGGAGGAGAGAGGAGGAGGAGGAGGAGGAGGAGGAGGAGGAGGAGGAGTGCCGCGGCCCGCTGCTTCCTCTGCCCTGCACCTGCCAGGAGGCTAGAGTACCTCGTCGGGCGCTTGCGCGACTCCGCGCTGCCAGGGGAGGACGAGCTCGTTAGCTGCCACAAGGACAGGGGGCAGGTAAAACAATAGGGGGACGACTAATTGCATTAACCTCATAACTCTGAGTTCCGCGCGGATTTTTCGGATCGGCGCTGGGCCCCCCTGGCGGCGCTTGCGGCGCCGCTCCTGGCGCGTTCCGCGTGCCAGGGAGGGGGGTCCAGCGCCGATCCGAGAAATCCGCGTGGACCTCAGAGCTTTTATGCTTATGTTTAGTTCGTCCCCTAAACGAGCGGCCCTTGAAATGTAGACCTGCCCGAAGCACCCCAAAATGTAGACCCCCGTTCTCCTCGCGCGGTCTACCTTGCAAGGTCCTTCAGGTCGGGGTCTATTTTTCCAGGTGCTTGGGTCTCGCGAGGGTCGACATTTCAGGGCCTATTTGGTCGGGGTTTACATTTGAGCCCTCCTGCGCGGGTCTGCATTTTGATGCCATTCTCGCGGGTCTACACTCGGGGGGCTGTTAGCGATTCGGGGCAAGGGGGCCCGTTCGATCCTGTCGGTTCGAGTCGATTCTGTTTAGATAGTGCGGATTTCGATTCGGTTCGACTCTGGAGTCCGACTTCAGTTTGGATTTCCTCGTGCATGCCTCGGCTCCGGCAGGCGGACGTCGATTCCGATGCCTTCCGATTTGCTTGCCGTTTTTGCCGAATCGATGTATTTCGATGGCGGATGCGATGTTCCGATTCGGTGTTGGATCTTCATGTCCTCGCGCCGTGACAAACGAGGACGATTTGTGTGCACTGTGCGCCGGGCCTGAAGGGAGTCCAAACCATGTACAGTGCATGGGTGCTGGCTCAAGACCGGGCTTTAGACGGCTTCAGAGTAGCACCTCAGCCGCCCCAGAAGGTGTACAAGTTGCAATGACGGCGCGCTCCGCATTGATCATGTCGCTCTTCTTCCTCTCAACGGCTATGTTAACGACCACGGCTGGGGCTGGCGTACCTACTACGTCGACCGACCCTCTGGTAACTGTGGGCGATGCCGACCACGGTAACGTTACGTTTTCGGGAAAAGTCGCGTCGCAGTGGACGCTTTCCTCGGAATCCAGTACGCCTCCATCTCGGAACGGTTCGCTCCCAGCGAGATCATTTTGGGTCCTGACGCCGATGAAGTAGCAGGCACCATCACAAACGCCACGGCCTATGGGCCCGCTTGCGCCCAGTTGGCAGCTGAGCTTCCACTTGGCTCAACCGAGGAAGATTGTTTGTATCTGAACGTTTGGCGTCCGAATTCTACGGTTAATGACCCTTTACCTGTCATGGTAGGGATACATGGTGGAGGCTTTCAAATGGGCTCTGGTTCTGAGGCACTGTACGATGGCGCAAACTTGGCAGCGAAAGAAGGCGTGATGGTGGTAACGTTGAATTACCGCCTGGGTTCGCTCGGCTTTCTCCAGACTGGGCCTGATGGTCAGGGGGGAATGAACGGACTGCTTGACCAGATCCGAGCATTGGAGTGGGTGAACCGCAGTATATCTTCATTTGGTGGGGACCCCGCCAAGGTAACATCATCGAAGACGCCTGTGGCGAATCACCGCTGCCCCCTGCCTTGATGATGCGCCTATGTGGCCAAACGTTGGGGCAAGTTTTGGCCACACGGTTGGACCATGCGTTCCCGCTGCCGTGGCGGTTCTGTGGGTGTCTCGGTGCGTCCTGCGGGGGGCCTCTCGGCCTCCTGGGGGCCTCTTGGGGCCTCTCGTGCGCACCTCGGCGGCCTCTGGGGGGAGCGTGGGGCCACCTTGGGGCGGAGGGCATGCAGTCGGGGCGCTGAAGAAGGAACCCTTTTCGTTGGGGAGGGGCTCCGTGTTCCTTAAGTGTTTCGCAGATTGCCTTAGGTTTTCCTACGATTTTCGACGGGAAATCGAAGTTCAACTTATGGAGAAAAGGGGCCTCGTTCCCTATTTAGGGTTCCTTAGGTCAAGGCCCCGAAGTAAACTGTCAGTTCGTGTTCCACCTCGGCCCCTCGCGGGGCCGTCCTGGGGGCCTCCCGGGCCCTCTCGGGGGCCCTCGGTCCGTCCTCGGGGCGATCCTGGGCACCTCTTGGGCCGCCCGTCCTGGACGCTCTGAAAAGACTGCAGAGGCGGCGAGGCGAAAACCATGCAGCAGCACCTGACCTTTCGCGATTGGGGCCTCTCGTCGGGGGTTGCTCAAGGTGCCCCTGGCCCAAGGTGCCCCTAGCTTTTCGCTCAATTCTGGAGCCCCTGGGGCCCTCTGGACCTCGTGGGGGGTGCTCTGGAGGCCGTGGGGTGGGGGCCTCCATGGCAATCCTGGGGGCACCTTGGGCCAGGGGCACTTCTAGCAACACCCGATCTTGGGTCGCCCTCCAGGGCTTCCAGTCGACCCAGGAGGCGCCCAAAGAGGGCCCCAGGACGGTGCCCGGGGCCATCTGCAGCCGTGGTCGACGTGCACGTCCCGAACACCGCGCCCTCGGCCTCTGGAGAAGCAGCGCGGGGACTCCCCGGGAGCGCGCGGGAGCGCCCCGGAGCGCCCCGGAACGGCGGGCCGCGGGCCCTTTTCAAAGTTTTCGCAGAAGTCAAGGCAGAGAAGCCGAAGGGACCTGAGGGCACTCCAACTCGTGCCTCGGCGCGAAGGGGCGGATTCGGCCAGTCGGCAGGGAGCATGTCAATCTGCATGCTGTCGGTTTCTCCCCTTGCCAAGGATCTTTTTCTCAGGGCCATCCTCGAGAGCGCCGTGTGCATTAATGAGCCTACCTATGGTATGCCGAATAGTGCGGAGAAGGGGGAAAATCTTACTAGGCAGGTTCTTGAGGCCGCAAAGGTCGAGAATGTTGAAGGCCTGAAAAACATATCCGTTGAGGAGGTGTTGAAAGCTAGCGCAGGACTCTACGGAGGGCCTTCGTGGGACTTGTCGGTGCTGCCCGCTTCGCCGGCAGACCTCTACAGCGATCCCGCGGGGCGTATCAATCCCGCCGACATGATGATAGGCTCGAACACGTTTGACGACTCTATGTTTGTACCGTGCGGAGGTGCAGACTTCTCATCTGCGTACTTGGGCGGGGCAGCTAATTACATGACCGGGTTGAGGGATGCCATCTACGTTCCCCCCGTCTACCCGAATGGTGAAGAATCGGCCAACGAGGTTTTCGATGCATATTCGCCAGATGATGTCTACAACGGGTCTAATGTTACAGCATTTATGCAGCAGCAAGGGGATTATCAGCGTATTTGTTTTGGCAGAGAACTTGCATCAGCGGCCTCATCGAATATCGGCGGGAAAATCTACGCTTACATGTTTGGTCATAACCCTTCTGCGGTTAGCGAATTGTGCGATGATCCCATCACAGCCACATTTCGCGATGATCCTACTTGGTCCTTCCATGGTGCGGAGATCCCATTTGTCTTCGGTAATCCCGTGACGTCCTCTCCTATCCATTGGCCCCAGGGTGCCCAACCTGTCGCGCAATCTGCCGAAGAAGCGGCCCTCCAGAGAGAGATGATGGCCCGATGGGCCAACTTTGCAAGGTCCGGCAATCCTCATGCTCCCTCGGGCAACGCTTCCTCCGTGGAGTGGGAGCCGGTTCCGAAGCACTCCAGAGCAGCCCCCGAGCGCGCGGCTGCGGACCCGCCGTACCTGTTCTTCACCGGGGGCGGCAGCAGGTGGATCTCGTCGAACGAGCACAAGGCGCAGCAGTGCACGCCCATAGTGCGCGCTGACAGTGCGTGGTCCGGTCGATGCGGCGGCCGCGGCGAGCAGGGGCGGTCGGGAAGCGGATCGACCCTCGTGGGCTCGGCGCTGCGGGCTCTTCGGAAGCGGAGCGGGCGGACGCAGGGGCACCTGCGCTCCGTGCGCGGCCTGCAGGGCGAGGGCGATGCTGCAGCGATGCTTCAGGTCTCGGGGGCAGCTCCCCGTGCTCCGAGGGGCGCGGGGGACGCTGGTCAGGAGTTGTGAGCGCCCGTCCCCGCCCTGCACCTCTTCGTCTTGGAGCCGGCTGGGGGTCTGAGGTGGCCCAGCAGCGGTTGTGGTGGGCAGGGAGTGGAAGAGGAGGTTCGAAGTTCTGGGTTCGGGACGTTGTTGTTGTTGTTGTTGTTGTTGGTGGTTTTGGTGTTGGTGTTGGTGTTGGTGTTGTTGTTGTTGTTGTTGTTGTTGTTGTTGTTGTTGTGGTTGTTGTGGTTGTGATTGTTGTTGTTGGTGTTGTTGTTGTTGTTGGTGTTGGTGTTGTTGTTGTTGTTGTTGTTGTTGTTGTTGTTGTTGTTGTGGTTGTGGTTGTTGGTATTGTTATTGTTCTTGTTGTTGTTGTTGGTGGTGGTGGTGTTGGTGTTGGTGTTGGTGTTGGTGTTGGTGTTGTTGTTGGTGTTGGTGTGGTTGTTGTGGTTGTTGTGGTTGTTGTGGTTGTTGTGGTTGTGGTTGTGGTTGTGGTTGTGGTTGTGGTGGTGGTGGTTGTTGTTGCTGCTGTTGTTGTTGTTGGTGGTGGTGGTGGTGTTGTTGTTGTTGTTGTTGTTGTTGTTGTTGTTGTTGTTGTTGTTGTTGTTGTTGTTTTCTCATTTCTGAAATTGTTGATCCCCCCACCGGTGCATACGGTTGTTTCTCAATCATACTGTGCCTTTCGACGCTCGCACTTTGTTTTTTTGTCAGGGAAAGTCTTGATACTCAAACTTTGCCCTTGGCCCCCGGGTTACAGCAACAACGGCTCCCGGTTTAGACTTCTTCACAATTTAGCCAGGACTTTCGCTCCCGCCCGAGACTTCCTCGCATTTTATTGAGGAATCGCGCTCTCGCTTGGGACTTCCTCACAATTTATGCAGGAATCACTCTCCTGGCGCTCTGGAGTCGCGCTCTCGCTGGAGACTTGCTTGCAATTTACTGGAGAATAGCGCCCTTGCGTGGGAATTTCTTGCAATTGCCTTAAGCGCCGCCCTCCCGACACCCAGGCACCCAGGAGTCGCGCCCGTTGTGGCCCCATGTGCATGCCCTTCGCGGCCCCGCTGTCGCCGTTTGTGCCCCCCTTACTGTCCTACGTGGCCCAGTTGCTAGCCTCAGTGGCCCCATCGTTGCCTTCAGTGGCCCCGCATTATCTGCCCTTCGTGGCCCCCGCTCGTTCGCGCTTTTCGTGGCCCCATACGCATTCCCTTCGTGCCCCCGCTGTCGCCCTTCGTGGCCTACTTTGTGTCCTTCGTGGCCCTGCAGTCGTTCTCTCTCGTTTTCGCTTTCGCTCGTCGTCGCCGTCGTCGTCGTAGTCGTCGTCGTCGTGGTCGGTCCCCTGTCCGTCCCTCTTGGGGTCGGGTCGACGGTCCGCGGCCGCCCCGCCGATCAGCGGTGCCGCTGGCCAGGCCGACGGTCCGCGGCCGCCCCGCCGCTTGCCGGGGCCCGGCCTGCAGGGAAGAACAGTCTACCCCCCAAAAGGGGTTCGATCGAAGACGAAGAGGGTGGACATCGAGGGTTTGGGAAATACGCGTTATTAGATTCTCGAGCAGATAAGGGCGAACAGTCTTAAACTGATTGTTGTTGTTGTTGTTGTTGTTGTTGTTGTTGTTGTTGTTGTTGAAGTCTCACTTCTGAAGAATAATTATTGTTGATCCCCCCTTCCGATGCACATTCTTTTTTCGATTGAATTGCCCTTTCCGGGGCCCGCACCCTGTGTTTTATAAAGGGAAAGTCATGAGGGTCAAACTGCGTTGTTGGCCCCCGGTTTGCAACAACAGCGGCTCCGGCCTGATACTTCCTCACAATTTATTGACGAACGGCGCTCTCGCTCGGAATTCCCTTGCGATTTACCGCCAGATCGCGGCTCCCGCTTGCTATTTCTTCACAATGTATTGAAGAATCGTTTCGTTCGTATTCCATCGTGGTATTTCATATTCGTTCGTTCGTTTCTACTCTTTCCCTTTATCTTCATTGTCATTTCGTTCGTACTCCATTGTGCTATTCCTACGTTCTTCGCATTCCGCCCATTTTTCCCCAGGCCACCCCATCCCACCCCAACTATCTCCACCCCTTCCCGCTCGCATTCCGCATTTCTCGAAAATTATTCGCAGTCTCTCCTCCAGATTCCTCCGTGCGCCCCAGGCTCCTCCGCACTCCTCCCGGTTCCTCTTCTCCACTCCTTGCCGCTCCTCCTATCCCAATCCACTCCCAATCCCCGCGCTCCTCTCGACGCGGTTGCAGTTCTCATTATCCTTCCGCCCCACTCTTCTAACATCTTGCTTTTTTTTCAGGGTTCCACGAAATTTGTTTCTGACACCAGTTCGCAGCTGTACGTCCCAACGTGGGGCTATCCACGACATGTTCTTTCAAGGGATGGTACGTGGCGCTGTTTATTGCGCGACCCATGGCGAAACTTATTGTTAACCTGTGTTCGAGTGGCTGGCGCAAGCCATGGCGCAAACTGAATCGCCACTCGCAGCGCATATCATCGTCCTCCTTCCTTCTTGCCCTTCTCCTCCCTTCCTCCGACCCCTTCGTCTTCATTCACCCCCGTTATCTCTTACCCTTTGTTTTAAAGGGCTTCGCCAACCGCACGTGGCAGGGAATGAGTACCTCCCAGGAAGGGGGTACGATCGAAGACGAAGAGGGCGGGCATCCAGAGTTTGGGGCGTGCATTTTGAATGACGCGCGAGCATATAAGAGCGAACCGTCTTAGACTGATTGTTGTTGTTGTCGTTGTTGTTGAACGTTCATTGCTAAACTATGTATTATTGTTGGACCCGCCAAGCGCTTTGGCGCTCTCGCTTTGGCGCTGGCTACGTCTACATTGAAAATGAAACGCACGCTCGAGCGGTTTGGGGGGGCGCCAAAACCGGCCCCCGAACAACAACGCTCCCCTTCGAGAGTTCCTCTTCTTTAGCTCAGGGGCCGGTGCTCTTGCTCGCCGCCGAAAGCAGCCGTCCCCAAAAAAACAGCTCTCCGGCTCGAGATTTCTTTTCATTTTTATTCAAGGCGGTGCTCCTCGTCGCCGCCGACAACCGTTGTCCCGATAAAGCCAGCGCTCCCGCCGGAGATGTCCTGTCGTTTTGCGCTGGATTGACGCCCTATTCTCTTTTGAATTGGCGCCGCTCCTGACAAGAACAACGCTCCCGCTCGAGGCGTTCTCCCTTATTCCTCAGGACGGTGCTGTTCCTCGCCGCCGACAACCCCCGTCCCGACAAAACCACGGCTCCCGCTCGAGGTCTTTTTCCCCTCCTACTCGAGGCGGCGTTCCTCCTCGCCGCCGACAGCCGCCGTCCCAACACGCATCGGCACCGTTCCCAGCAACAACAGTGGCCCTGCTCGAGACTTCCTTCCCCCCTTTCTATTCAGGGCCAGGTCCTTGCCTTGCCGACGACAACCCCCATCCCTACCAAGGCAATCCTGTCGCTCGATACGTCCTTGTGCTTTACCCCAGGCTGGGGTTCCACTGGCGGTCTCGCATCGGCGCAGCAAGGCGCGGGCGTGTGTTTTCGAAACGGGAAATGTTGAATTTCTTCGGAGCAGGTGCTTGCAAGGCTTCATTGGGCGTGAGATCTGGGAATGGGAATAACGGACCCCGCTATAAAACAAAACTCTCCCATGATGGGGATGGTTACCATGATGGTCGCATGTTTCGTGTGGGAACATCGCGCATGAGGGTCGAATGATTGCTGTTCTTGTTGATGTTGTTGCTGCTGCTGCTGCTGTTGTTCTCTCACAGTTGAAGAATAAGTATTGTTGATCCCCCCGTCCAGTGCACATTGTATTTTTCAGTTCAAATGCCCCTCCCGGCGCTCGCACCATTTTTTATCACGGAACGTATTCCTCCTTAAACTGCGTTGTTGGCCCCCCGGGTTACAACAACACCGGTTCCTGCTTGATACTTTCTCGCAATGTAGCCAGGACCCCCGCTCCCTCCCGAGACTTCCTTGGATTTTATTGTAGAAGCCGGCTTTCGATTTGGACTTCCTTACAATTTACGCAGGAATTGTTTTTTCGGCGCTCTGGAGTCGCGCTCTCGCTGGAGTTGTGCGTGCAATTTACTTAAGAATAACGCCCTTGTGTTGGAAGTCTCAGCAATTTACTCAAGCGCCGCGCTCCCGACACTCAGGCACGCATGAGTGGCGCTCACGCTTAAGACACCCTCGCAGATCCTTTAAGAATCGGAATCTCGTTGCCCTTCGTGGCCCCGTTGCAGCCCTTCGTGGCCTCCTCGGTGCCCTTCCTGGACCCGTTGAAGCCCTTCGTGGCCCCGTCGCTGCCCGTCGTGGCCCCGTTGCAGCCCTTCGTGGCCCCCTCGCTGCCCTTTGTGGCCCCGTTGCAGCCCTTCGTGGCCCCTTCGCTTTGTTTCGTGGCCCCGTTGCAGCCCTTCGTGGCCCCGTCGCTGCCCTTCGTGGCCCCGTTGAAGCCCTTCGTGGCCCCCTCGCTGCCCTTTCTGGCCCCGTTGCAGCCTTTCGTGGCCCCTTCGCTTTGTTTCGTGGCCCCGTTGCAGCCCTTCGTGGCCCCCTCGCTGCCTTTCGTGGCCCCGTTGCGCCCCTTCGTGGCCCCCTCGCTGCCCTTTGTGGCCCCTTTGCGCCCATTCGTGGCCCTCTCGCTGCCCTTTGTGGCCCCGTTGCAGCCCTTCGTGGCCCCTTCGCTTTGTTTCGTGGCCCCGTTGCGCCCCTTCGTGGCCCCCTCGCTGCCCTTCGTGGCCCCGTTGCAGCCCTTCGTGGCCCCTTCGCTGCCTTTCGTGGCCGCATATATGTATGCCTGTCGTGGGCCCATATGCATGCTTTTCGTGGCCCCGCTGTCACCCTTCGTGGTCCCTCGCTGCCCTTCGTGGCCGCGTTGCTGCCCTCAGTGGCCCCGCCCTTGCCCTCCGCAGCACAATATCGGAGTTTGGGGGGTGAGTCCGACGTGAAACGGAGACCCCCCCCACCGGGAAATCGATTTCGGTTTCGGGTTCGCGTGCGTGTCGTGCGTGCGTGCGGGCGAGGCGAAGCTGCGTGGGCGGGCGAGAGGAAATC